CTTACAATAAGAAAATGACCATTTATATAGGCCTCACAATGACAAAGAAAACAAAAGACTAAAATGCCCCTTGAGCTACAATAGAGACCAAATACCAATAAGGGCAAAAGCGGAAAAACTGAAAAATAAAATAAACTACTAAATAAAATGACTCAAAATAAAACTCATGATCGTGGCCGTCGATCTCCGGCGTCTCCTGATGGTACATGTGTCGAAATTGCTGACGATGTCTTCATCAAAAAGAGGGGAGAAAATGAAGAGGGGTTTGTGTATGAATTAGGAGGGAAGATCGGGAGACTTGAGGAGGGCCAAACACTTGGGAAAGGGGAAATTATGGAGGAATAAGGGGAAATAGGGGAGATCAAAAGGTGAGGAAGTTGAAAATGTCCATTTTCAAAGGGAGAGGACGCACATGGGTGGATGTGCAAAGTGGAGATGTATTTCTCTCTCAATGGTCTGATGGATGAAGAGAAATTGATAGCAGCAAGGCTATGTTTAGAGGGGAAGACACTGTTTTGATATCAGTGGAGGGACCAGAGGATGCCCATATGGGACTTAAGAGAGTTCAAGGAGTGTTTACTAGAACATTTTTGAACCAGTAAGGGAGGGGACTTCTATTAGTAGTTCTTTGCATTAGTACAGGATGGATCAGTAGCTGACTGCCGTGAGAGGTTTGGGCATTTGACCAGCGGGTGGAGAGACTATCAAAGACGGAGGGAAACTTCATGAAGGGGCTTAAATCCGATATCAGAGTTGCGGTGAGGGTCATGAAGTCTCGTGACTTGGGAGAGGCCATGTAATTGACACAGTTGGTAGAAGATCGTAGGTATCTAGAGAGGGGAGCCAAGAGCAGCTGTTCAGGTGGCTCTTATAGGATAACCACTACTCTTTTAGCACCCAGGGTCCTATAGCATGTGGTTTTCAGGAGACTATCCGGGGAAGTTAGTATTAGGATTTAGGAGGGAGTGGGGGAAATTTCAAGAGACTGACGGAGAAGGAAATGCAGGAGAAGAGGGTGAAGGGATTATGCTTCAGGTGTGATGAGAAGTTTACTCTAGGGCATATTGTAGGGATCGAACACTTCAGGTTCTCACCGTCTGTGATGATGAGGAAACTGAGGGAGGTGAGGGAGAGGTAAAGGGAGAGATGGAGGAGAAGATGCACCTAGATCTGATAGAAGTTTCCCTGAACCTGTGGTAGCATTCAGCCATTCACTACGAATCATACCATGAAAGTGAAGGAGGAGATAGAGGACATGGAGGTGGTGGTAAAAGAGTCAGTAAGTGTCAAAACAACAACAACTGCATGCTAGTGAGTGTCAAATTAGTAAACAAGACTGTAAACCCTTATACATACGGTACCAATTTATAGACAATATACTTGAGCCACTTCTAAGTGAAGCAGTAAAGTTCCATACATTAGGAAAATAACCTTAAAACCCATTCACACCAAATATTAGGTAGCTTAGCCTATAGGGTTGGGTTGTAAGACCCGCTTACCGACAACTTCTAATAGAAGCTGTAAGTTCGACTTATAGAGGAAATATCTAGGTAGCAACCTAACCCTAGACCCCTCAGGCAAACTCTAATAGAGGCTGTAAGACCTGCTCCTTGGGCAAACTCTAATAGAGGCTGCAAGACCTGCTCCTTGGGAAAACTCTAATAGAGGCTGTAAGACCCACTTTCCGGGCTACTTTCAATGAAGGCCGTAAGTCCTGACTCAAATTCAAACACCTGGACTACTTCTAGGAGAAGCCGTAATACCTACTTCAATTCAAACTTCTGGGTAACTTCTAAATGAAGTTATAAAGCCCAAACCAAACTAGCTATTGGGTATTCTAATAGATTTAAACTGCAAAACTCTAATAAATTTAAAACTCACATCTAATCATCTCAGTTTACTCGAGATCACTGAGAGGAGGTAAACCATGGTTGTTAATCAGATTCATTGGACACTATGGTTAATGATTGTTAGTGTCGGTAGACTAAAACCTACGATGTGCCAAGAACGACGGAATCATGGGATCTTGACCGGGTGTACCTTTATCATTCCGTAAATAGAATTAAAACACTTGCACATTTCTACACTTTTTGCACAGCTAAGTATATGTTTTATCCTTCATCGAGAGTACTCTTCTATGTGTTAGAAGGGATAATTAATTATGAGGGCTTGCGCTTATAAGAAGTAAGCACCCAGATCTAAATAAATCTTGAAATTACCCTCAGGGGAAATCTAGTTAAATTCAAAATTCAATCTGTAACACCCCACAGTATCACTGAATAGTACTGTCAGGTATCACTAGCATAATCTTCATTTTCACATCATTATACATTAATGTACATTTCCTTCAGTATAGAATTTATAAAAGTCTAATAACAGATCATTCACTGAATACATGAAAGCATCTAAAATTCAATTTACTCCAAATATAATCTTACAGAGCCACTACAACAAACCACTAATACAAGACTGAAATGTTTTAGTACCTCCAAAAGTAGACTTAATAACAAATATAATTTTAACATGAAATGAAGAAACACTTTAACATGAAATGAAAAAAAAAAACTTTAACATGAAATGAAGAAACACTTGCATATATTAACTTGCATCAATCTTCTCCTTCTATTTTCCTGTAACAACAACCAGTAAAAAAAAATTGGTGAGCTGTGAGGCTCAAAAAGCTATGCAATTCAATAACAATTAAAATATAATAACATAATAAATTACAACATTGAGCTACTAATTAGATCAACTTATCAACTTATCAAAATTTGTAAAGCATTAAAAACATTATATTGAACTTCATCCTTTATGTCAATTGAGATAGATACTGAATATTTAATCTTAATCTTTTAAAAGATTTGACTATACTTTAACATATTCAATGAAGCCCAGATAAACCTGACATTATCACCATTGAATTTCATAGGGGTCCCTTTTTCCCCACTTGCTATGCAGGTATCCATTTCCTTGGGGTCTCTTTTGCCCCATCTACAGTTCATGTTTCATATTGGGTTCCTTTTTCCCACCTGATACTGTAGAGATCATAACATAACATTAGCCAATCTTTCTTAAATAAATATTAAATAATTCTTATATTCATAATTCATAATTCATAATTCATAATTCATATTTGTTACCACTTATATAGCCGAACAAGTGTTGTAAGAAGAGTTTGACATGCATTATCTAACAAATGCAAACTTATTTCTTTAACATATTATCGAAAAGATATTAGACTAATGATAATCTTCACTTATTAGAACTTGAATGAATTTATATGATATAAAAGATAATGATAATCTTCACAATTCTTACCTTTCTTCCAATATTATTATCTTCTACTATTTCTCTAAACTTTTCCTTTTGATTCTTACTCTTCCAAATCCTTCAAAAGTTTACTGTTTATTGTTTTCAAATCAGTTACATACATGCCAACTATAATTCAACATATAAATCTAATTCAAACATAGAAATATTTGTTACATTCTTCAAATAACTTCCATTTTACATATTGTTGTTATTGTTTTACTTTCCTTCACCACAACAAGAAAATTTCTTCAGCACTATGCCAAAATCTACACTATTCCCTCCGTGCTACAGTACCGAGGCTACTGTAGCGAAATTGCTACAGTATTTTCCTCTTGCGCTGTGCCGAAGATTTCTGTGAATTCCAGCCAGAATTATCAAACCGAGAGGTCCACACATCTCATATAACTGATTTTCCTTCTCATCCAATGAACACATCTATTCCCTCAAATCAGATGGCTTGTGTGAAACAGGATAAGGAAGAATTATGAGAGAGGGTCCACTTACAAAATTGCTTTTATTCTTATCCAAATGAAACCTTTATTTCCAATCAGTTTCCATTAACGTGAAAGAGCCAACCGGTGCATGCCTTTTTGGATGTCTGAGTGGAAATATTATTGTTATTTAATTTATATATTAGTTTAAGATATTAGACTAATGAATAATTAACAGTAGTTAACTGTTAATATTAATTTAATAGTAGTTTACTATTGAATTTAAAATAAGTGTTACAATACATTTAATTACTGTAACATACTTGATTGGGTCTTATACAATCTGCCTCAAGGGAGAGTGCAATCCTATGGTTGTGAAGCGGGATTCATTCATGCCTACAGTGCATTTATCTTTTCCTGAGCGAAACAACAACAAACTTACCTAAGAAGTCTCGAAAGATCTGATTCATCAAACATGTAAAAATATTGGGTGTATTAGATCTAAAGGCATGACGGTCCTTTCACATAGATTTTGGTGGGTCTTAAATGTAGTTTTCTGTTCATCTCTAGGGTGCAATTGTATTTGATGGTATCCTTTCCTTGGATCAATATTTAAAAAATAGGTGACTCTGTGCAACTGATCAAAGAGTTCATCTAGCCGTGGAATGGGGAAGAGGTACCTAATAGTGATTTTGTTAATGAGTTAGCTGTTGATAAAACATCTGCAATGACCCATTTTGAGGTTAGCCATTTTGTTAAACTATGAACCTCTGCCTTCAAGGGGTGCCCTAGTACTCAATCACAAGGATGCATTACTTTTTAATTTTATGGATACCAATTTAAAGACACGGTCAAGAGGTACCTCTTTGTACGAAATATCAATCTTGATATTGAATCTTGAGGTCTTTGAAGTTCTCGCCTATAATAACGAAGGGGTGGTTCCTTCTCTTCACTAGAAGCTTCTTCATGAAAATGTATTTTTTCCTCCTTTTGATGTTCATCATCATTCCAGTGTTCAATTGGATGATGTAGTTTCATCACCGCAAGCCGTTCTTGAAGTTGGCGAATCTCCCATTGTAATTCTTCCATTGAAGGTTCTTGAATTGGTCTTGGAATGTCTCTTCTTGATGGCATTCTTGCGGAGTTTTGCTGGGCTTTGATACTAGATGATGCCGGAAATTACTCGTGGAAGGTTGAGGTGGTTGGACAGAAAGAGGAGGCGGGCAGACACTAGGCAGCTAGAGAAAACAGTGGTAGATGGCTGGACTGCAGCTATTGGAGTTGGTGCAGACATTGGACAGCAGCTGTAGAGGGCTGGAAGAGGTGGACAGCAGGGGAGAAACCTGGAAAGAAGTGTGGGGAAAAGGAATGGACAGAGCGAAAAGGGCCACCACTTGGCTCTGGCAGGATACAATGAGAAAAGAAAACCAGGAACAACTTTCTAATTTATGATTTTTACAAAAACTGAACACAAGCCACCTCTAGTGACCCTTTTGGAGGGAAATCAAATTTTTTAAACAATTAAGGGGAAAAAACTTAAAAAAAAAAAGATGAAAGGACAGAGGGTGAGATTCGGTTGGCTGAATTGGACCGAACCCAACCTCACGTCATTACTTGTAAAATATTTGAATATAGGTTAATATGCATACGCGTATTATCATCTCTTTTGTTCATATGATACTTACTACTTTCATGACTTCCCACATTGTCACATACTTCGAGTGTGTTGTAAATGTAATCTTTACCACATCCAATCTTAATTGCTTGTATCTTTGTTAAAGATAGTTATTGGGACTATTAAGTCATCTTCATTTATTTTAGTAATTTGAATAGGCTTAATTAAGTGCTTTCTTGTGGTGTTTAGGGATCATCTAATCCTATATGTTTAATTTCATATTTTGGGAAAGATGGCTGTCGCGACTTTTGTGTTGCTTTCATATGAAAAATAGGATTAGAGCACATTGCTTCTAGGTTCCATTATAAAGAAATATGAAAAGTATGCAGACATTGCTTCTAGGAACACACAACATAACCCATCTAATTAATTTCATATTTTGGGAAAGATGGCTATTAGAACTATTGTGTTGTATTCATGTAAAAACATGCAGATATTGCTTCACTTAGTTAGAATTTACGTACTGGCAATTGCAAGAGATGTCTTTGAACGTAATTTTGTTGTTTCTTTGAGATTTTGCATTTGTCTAATATAATATACTTTTTAACAGGTTGATTAATCCAGTTGTCGTGTCTCCTACGGTTGCTGCAGTTGGCCTTTCATTTTTCAGTTACGGTTTTACTCAAGTTGGAAACTGCCTAGAGATTGGAATTATGCAGATATTGCTGGTCGTCATATTTGCACTGGCGAGTACAGTCTGCCTTTATTTACTTTATATGCAGAATATGAAATTAGGATAATCTTTGTTTGCCCATTGTGTTTAATCATGTAATATCTGTAGTCTGCAGTTCTTTTCCCTCTTCTCTTTTTGAGTTTGTTATTTGTATTGTTAGCTCATGTTCCTGTTACAGTATCTGCGCAAGATAAGGATTATTTGGTCATCTTTTTAATCTATGCAGTAAGTTGGTATTGTGATCTAAATTTTTTGTTACTAGAAGTTCTTAGCTCTTGTGAAATTGATCTCTGGCTGTGTACAGGTTCCTCTTAGTCTGGGAGTCACTTGGGCCATTGCTTTTTCCCTGACAGAGGCTGGACTCTATAGCTATAAAAGCTGTGACATAAACGTACCCACCTCAAATACTCTATCAGCTTATTGCAGGAAGCATGTACCTAGGATGAAGCATTGCCGTGTCGACACTTCCAATGCTTTAAGTGCGTCACCATGGTTTAGGTTTCCATACCCCTTACAATGGGGCACACCGGTTATCAACTGGAAAATGGTCATCGTCATGTGTGCAGTATCAATAATTGCATCAGTTGATTCAGTAAGTTTATTCTCAACTTGTACTTACCACATTTTAATACTATTCCTACTGTTATTTATACATATTTTTTCATCCCCTTCATCTGTGGACTTAAAATGGCTATGTCCTGAATCAGCATTTCCCTGAGGAAACTAAACTAATAAAAAAGAGTAAAGTGGGGGGTGCCATGTAGCCATGTAATGAATCAAAACTAAAAAAAAATTCTCTTCTTTATAGTAAGCAGTCTATATTTAGCTTTCAAAATGCTACAAATTTATACTGATACAATTGATAAACTTGGGGCATTTCCAACCGAAAATCTCATTTTTCATTCCAAAATGCCATGAAACTAAAAAATGCCGTGATTCATCTCCAATCGAACTCTATTTTGCCCCCTTTTGCGAAGTTAACGGTCGTTCTCTTCTTTCACACATTTCTTTGGCAAGTTCGGTAGAGATAGAAAAATGGTGAAGATGAACAGTGCAACGCCAATATTGGCGTCCCACTGTTCACCCGCAACCAAATAGCAGAAGTTTTACCGTTTGGCTGGAGCTTGCGAGCGACGCCATTCAAGCGTTTGGAGTTGGGTTGGAGATGCCCTTATGATGTGATGAGGCAGCTAAGTTTAACACTTGCAATCAACCAAATAGCCAACCTTAAGAGATGCTTTCTGCATTGTTTATGATGTTGGTAAATATGACTGGTTGCAAGAATAGACTATAAATACACGACGATCTTTTCCATGTTATCTTAGGCTTCTTTTGTTCTTCTTATTTATTTCTTAACATTTTGGAAAAACAGTTTTGATTTATGTGACAATATGCTTAGAAATTCATGATGATTTTGTACTTGCATTTTCTCTATATGAATTTATGTGCATATGGATTGTGTTTTCTTTGTCAAGGTTGGTTCATACCATGCATCTTCCTTGTTGGTGGCATCTAGGCCACCTACAGCTGGCATACTCAGCAGAGGGATTGGCTTAGAAGGTGTTTCTAGCATCTTGGCTGGTCTATGGGGAACAGGAGTTGGCTCTACAACTCTTACTGAGAATGTTCACACTATTGCTGTGACAAAAATGGGTAGCCGAAGAGCTGTTGAGTTTGGCGCTGTTATTCTAATTCTTATTTCTTTTATTGGTAAGCGTTCTTGTAACCCTGACATGGATATTGTCACTTTTTAGTCCACTAATGAACACTAAGGCTTCATTTGAGACGGCTTTTTTCATGCTTCTTAAAGCGGCTTTCTAGTACAAAAATTAAAATTTTTGTTTTAAGAAGTCACTTTAAGAAGCAGGAAGAAAGCCGTCCCAAACGAATGAAAGTATTAGTGATGTTGGATGAAAAGCTTGCTTTCGTCCTTTGTCACATATAATTGACTTTTTTGAATGTAGTAAACTATCTCTTTGTTCATAGGTAAAATCAGCGGCTTTATTGCTTCAATTCCAATGGTCATGGTTGCTGCTCTTCTTTGCTTTATGTGGGCAATGCTTGCTGCTCTGGGCTTGTCAAACCTACGCTACAGTGAGGCTGGGAGTTCAAGGAACAGTATCATTGTTGGACTTTCTTTATTTTTTTCTTTGTCAATTCCTGCTTATTTCCAGCAATTTGGACTCGTTCCTAATGCCAACTCAGCCGTACCAAGCTACTTTCAGCCTTATATTGTTTCATCTCATGGACCTTTCCACACTTCCTATGGTGGCGTAAGTTCTTAGATTCTATATAACATGAGCTCCATGATTCAATATGGTTTTGTTTTTTCATGTTGATTTTTATTCTTAGGAAGTGCCATTGAAAAATAGTTATTTTCATTTTTGAGGATAAACAAAACATGCGTTGATGAGAATTGTGTAGCAAAACCTTAACTATTTTTATAACACAAAATAATCATCCCTTCATGGACTTAGATTGTTCACGTTTTTTTGACGATAGCTTTATTGAGGCAGATAGCTTTCAAGAATATTTTCTTTTAGGTCTTTTCTCTTATGAAGTGTATTAACCAGTTACTTATCTTCAGACTTTGTTAGGATTGTTGACACTCATAAATATGATTATAATAGGACTTTGTTAGGATTATTCTTATAATTTCTTTTTGTTGGGGAAGTGCATATCGACTCACAGATGGAGATATTAGTTTGCTCCTCATTCGTTTTGAATATATTCCAATCATAAATTAAGTTCATTGGTTAACTCATCCTTGGCCCAAATTTCAAGAGTTGTCAATAGGATTTGGAGGCATTACCAGATGTCTTCACCAGTCATTAAATTTTTAGTGGCTTTCATAGTGGTTGGATTTGACGAGAAAGATTTAGAATTACCTCATAGTTTGATTGAAGTTGTTCTAAAGGGTTTCTAAAGATGCACCAGAAACCATCCTATTGTGTTTTATGTTTTCTACACCTTGGCTCAATTGCTCCACAAATAATGACATTTTTGCATATTCAACCTTAAATGCATCAAGTTCCATGGTGACTAAAAGGTAACTATGCTATGAAAATGGTTAAAAAAAGTGATTAATGCAACTAATTAGAAAGCTATAAAATGATGATGGAGATGCAAATTGAGCTAATTTCAAAGATAAAATTTCTAAAATATGATTATAAACTAGTGCTTAGCTCATAAAAATATTTTGAGATACGCTGAAGATTGAGTAATGTTAATTGCATAGTGGTGGACAACCAGGCGTTGCAGGTTCTTATTTCTACTCAAAATTTGTTGGATAGAAGACATAATGTAAGCCCAACTATTGAGTTCTGTGAATTTAGGTTCTTGACCATTGAAGTTTCTGTAAATCCTAAACATTTGCCATGATGTCTTTTGTCTTCCAAAAGGCCTTAGCAGATCCTCCAGTCTGTTATGAGCATCAATGGGTTATTAACCCGCTTTGAACTTTCACTACAAAAGGGAGTGGAAGTTTCTGTGATATGTGGCGGGTGAAGCAAAGTTATGGAGGTAATGTCATCCTTAGAATGGTGTTGGCGGCGTAGATGTAGGTTTTGTTTGGGAAGGCTTTCTTACTGCTTTTTAAAGCAGCTTTTTAGCAAAAAAAATTAATTTTTATATACTAGAAAGCTGCTTTAAGAAGCAGTCAAAAAGCCGTCCCAAATGATGCTGTAATCACATGAATGATGGGTAGGTTGTGGGTGAAGCAGGTTTTGTGGCTTTGGCAGAGCAGCCTCTAGGCAAGATCTACAAACAGAAGCAGCTCGGGGGCAACACTCAACAAGCTGCGATGTGATGTTTATATGTGCAGAGATTATTACGTGCGGAGTCCGAACACAAAGAACCGTTCGGTTTTGTGACTGTGAACAGTAACTGTGCTTTTACTGTTCACAATTACAAAACCGAATAATTTTCTGTGCCCGGACTCCACACATAATAATCTCTCTTATATGTGTATGGAAAAGGATTAATAGATTCTCCTCGCCATTACAAGATTTTAGCTATATCATGTCAATACTATAAGTCTGATTTCTCACCTATATGTATTGTTTTTTTACAGGTAAATTATGTTCTGAATACACTTATGTCATTAAACATGATCGTCGCCTTTCTCATAGCTGTAATTCTGGACAATACTGTTCCTGGTAGCAGACATGAACGTGGAGTCTATGTTTGGTCTGACAGTGAAGCTGCAAGAAGTGAAGCTTCTTTTCAAAGAGATTACGAACTTCCTTTTAAAGCTGGGAGGATTTTCAGATGGGTAAAGTGGGTTGGCCTCTGATATACAGCTTTCCTATATTCTTCATTCTCTCTAATCTATAAAGAGATCAAGAAGCAGTCTCATCATTCTTCCCCTTCAGATTCAGAAATATGTTCATCTTTCTGCAGAGTTGCAAGTTCATGGAAATGTCCTTTTTCCAGGTGAGAATGTCTTTCTTCTGTAAGTGGAAATCCTGTTCTTCTTTTCCTCTGTAAGAACAGTTTTGTTTACTTGTATTTGCTTTTTTTACCTTTTTTTTTTACTTTTTTTTTATCCTTTTTTTATGTATTTCTTATTTAGGAGGGTTCAGATTCTTTGAGATTTTGTTTTTCTGTACAGCGTGGTGTGCTTTGGATTCTGGGAGGTGATATTTAGTTGTAATTTCTGCTGTAAATGTGCTCTAAATCTTTATGATTTTTGCATAGGAGAAATTATTCTGTGCGGATGCCGGACGCAGCTCTACGTTCAAATGCCGTGGTACTGAGCTGCGGTACTGAGTGGTACCGCAGCTCGGTACTGGCTGCGGTATGGTAAAAGGGTGACATAGTATATTCTGATTGGTCTCCGGACGGTGTTCGACGTCCGCACAGAATAATTTTTGGAGAATTTTTGTTTATGTTTTCTACATCCTGTTCTCACAAATGAGGTGACGCTGTGATTTAGATGTGAAGCATGTGGCATAATGCATTATTATTGTGAGATCTTTTCTCCCCTCTATTTGAAGGATAGCAATTTTCTTTTATTTTTATGTTCTAGCTGTGGCTTACAACTGCGCGTGGCTTATCTTGTTGAGATTTTTGTGGATTGTATTCGTTTGTTTTTTTTTGCTTCTGTCATCCAAATCTAAGATCAAAATTTTTGAAATGAGAGATTTGAAATGATCCCCAATTAGTGTTGAGATTAGTGTTTATATATAATTTTTTTCTCTATTTATGTAGTTATTTGTTTAGAATTATTTATGATAATAAAAAAGTAATAAATTAATTTTTTATGTGATGAGTTGGTGTATTGAAGGTGTGTCTCGAGCTAAGATTATGGTATTGTTTGGGATAATTTTTTTTATTATTTTATAAGCAGTTCTTTAGTATATATATATTTCTTTTAATTCAAAATTTTAATGTTAAAAAATTGCTTTATAAAATTTTTTCGTTTGAGACAGCTTTCTTAATGCATTCTAAAATAGATTTTTAATTAAAAATTTTCTTGAATTAGAATTTTTTGTGTTAAAAAGTTATTTTAGAAATTAATGAGAAAGTTGTCTCAAACGAAGCTGGGATGATTTTTTTTATTGCTTCTTGATGCAGTTTTTTAGTATAAAAATTTAAAATTTTGTATTAGAAAGTTGCTTCGTGAAAAACTAAAAAAATTATCTCAAATGAAGTCTTAATTTGATAAATAATTATATAGTAGGTGAGCACTATACGAGCTACTATCAAGCTTTTAATAAATTATTTGTTGAAAAAAAATAAATTGTTCATGCCTTTAAACAAATAACTTGGATTGTATTTAAATAAATTGTTCATGTATAATTAATTAAATTGACGTTAAGCTTTTCATTGAGTATATTTGTTCACTTATAAGTTATAATCCAATGTATTCTATAATTTATGATAATTTGATTTTATGTCTAGTTCATTAAAGTTTCATTTGGGATGACTTTCTTACTATTTTTTAAAATTATTTTTTGTATAAAAATTTTTAGAATTAGAAATTTTTGTACTAAAAAGTTGCGCTAAAAACAAGAAGAAAGTGGTTCCAAATGAAGCTTAAATGTGAATTTGCATTTATGAATAATATGAATGTAAAAGAAAGAACAAAGCTATTCTCTCCAAATAAAATTATGGATTAACATTTGATTTCAAAATTTTCAATTTCTTTTGCACGCATTAATTTCTCCTCCATTATCGAGTCTCAAAATATTTGAAATTCGACTTGAGAGTTCAATGTTTCAACTAGGGGTGTAGGTGAGCCAAACTGGCTTGAGAGCCGGCTCGAACTCAACTCGATAATGAGCTCGCCAGTTGAACTTATTTAGCTTCCTGCCTTCAAGCTTGAGCTTGAGCTCCAACCCGATTTCATATATTAAACGAGCCCAAGTTTGATCTTGAAGAAACTCGGCTTATTGGCTTGTGAGTTCAGCTCGTTTAATTTGATATTAAAAAATACAAAAACTTGTATTATTAAAAAAAAAAAACTGTTGTTTCTAATTAAATGAAAGAATATACAACGATAATTGCCTTTAACGCGATTAATGCAAACTGCAGCTCCCAACAGCTTTGTTTTTGAAAAATTTCATCAACAATTTAAATAATATATCTAATGAATTATGTCAAATTTTATTAAATGCTATAAATTCTATTATGTCTAATAATAGTTGTATATGTTTAATAACATTTTTGCTTGCTGAAATATTCGCGATTATAGAGAAATATGAAGTTTTAACGTCTTAGCATTGTATGAAATTTCAACACACAACCAGATAAAAGAAAGATTCTAGCATTCATAATAAACTAATTTTTACGTGGAAACCCTTGAAAAGGGGAGAAAACTATGTGGTCTAGCCTAGTTTGAATGAATCCACTAGTGTTTGCGGCGGCGGGGCAGGGGGAGGGGGGTTCGAGTGCATTACATGGTGGGAATTGGAAGAATCAGTATTTGCATGTTTGTTTGGTCGGAAGAACCATAGTCAACGGGCGATGGAGGTCGGAAAGATCAAGTTCGGGTGATGGTGGTTGGAAGAACCGTAGTCAGTGGGCGACATAGATTAGAAGGATCGTAGTCGACGAGCGGTAGTGGTCAAAAAGATCATTGTCTGGTGACAGAGGTCAGAAGGATCGTAGTCTGACGACGGAGGTCGGAAGGAACATAATTGGCCGGTGAAAGCAGTTAGAAAGACTGTTGTTTGGCAACAGAGGTTAAAAAAGATCGTAGTCGATGTGCAACAATGGCCAGAAAGATTATAGTCGGGCGACGATGATCAGAAGGATTGACGACAATGGTTAGAAAAACCATTGTCATGGATACGAAGGTTGAAAGGACTGCTGTCTGAGGAACGAGGTTGGAAGGATCGTAGTTTGACGATGGAGGTCGGAAGGACTGTCGACGGTCGGTGGGCGGCAATTGTTAGAAATACCGTTGTAAAGCGACATAGGTCAGGAGGATCGATGAAAGTTGGTGGCTGGGTGTAAATCCAGTGTCAATTGGTGGCCGGGCGAGAGTATGGCGACAGTTGGTGGCTGGGTGGTGGTCGAGGAGTAGCTTGATGGCAACAAAAATCTCATATTTATCTTCCTCTCCTCTCTTCTTTCTCTTCCTTCTTTTTCTCCCATATTTCCTCCTATGGTCCTTCCCCCTTTTAATGAAAAATGAAGGGTCTATTTATAATTTTTTTGTAGTGGCATGACCAATAAATATGAGAGAGATCAAGGGTACATTGGGAGTGATTTGAATGGACGGCTTATATTGATCCCCTTGATCGTGGCCCGTTTACTGGGTATTTGAATTTTTTAATGATATCAAAATTCAGTGATCTTGGGGTCGTTGGATTTGTCTCATCGAGCTGCTTGATTTGACTTTAAGCATGTTACGTTTGAAAATCGTTTGCTAATCAAATTTATTGTTTAAACCTTTTAAAGATGCTTGAGTCTTCAATTTGTACCTATTTTTGGCTTGGATTGAGTCGAATTTGGTATCATTTGATTCGTCTCTTAGAGATGTTCAGTTTGACTACAAGTTTGTTGAGATCAGAGTTAAGATGGTTTCAAACTTAATTTCAGAAGTTTCCTACTTGATTTCGCCACCAGATTCGTGCCCGATCATGATTAGTTTTTTGAGGATATATCAATAATCAAGCATCAATCAGATGATTAGTTAGGCTCAATTACAGCTCAATCTCAATAAAAAACAAACTAATAAAAAAACTTGAGCACGACCATGAATAGAGTAATGCTCAAATTTAGCTCGTACTCGATAAGAAAATTAATAAATGAAGTTCCTAAGAAATTTCTCCACTATTCTTGGTTCATTTTAGATGTTTAGAAGAGAAAGCGAGTAAATTCTTATCACCCTTCTATTATAGAATTTGTGTTTTTCATAAATTATACTAACCACCAAAATATATGAATAATTGAAGGATTATTTTAAAATTTAATCCGATTTTTAATATCTTCATGATGCTAATATTTAAAATTTTATATTAAAATATTAATATATTAGTAATACTTGATTTTCAACTAGAATTTTGAAGTAAAAAAATAAATAAACAAAAGATATTTCTAAAACTCTTAAAATTATATATAAACCTTTTTTTTTCATAAATTATACTGACCACCAAAATATATATAACAAATGCTAAAATATCTTAATATTTTTTTTTTCCTAAATTATAATAACCACCAAAATATATATAACAAATGCTAAAATATCTTAATATTATAAATTATTAAAATTTTAAGCCCGTGATTTTTAACGGCCAATAGGCGCCTAAAGATTCCCTCGAATATTCGTTATCGTCCCCGGATTTCTTTATATACCCTAGCCGTCCATTTTATCAGGCCTCGCTTCTTCGCTAATCCATTTTGCAGAGCTTCTTCAACCAAATCAATCGAAGATGACTGCCTATATCGGAAAGTACAAAGGTATATCGACAGATCTGTTCTATAATTTCCTTTTAAATGTTATTCTGTTGCATTTTTAGTTTTGTTCTTGATTGGTTGTAGTTTTATGGATCTCGAAGTTTACATCTTAATGCTTTTTTCGTTTAATCTGCGTTTATGATGTGTGATTTTAATTTGAATAAAGCACGGAAGTTTTCGGTGTCAAAATTTGGCGTGGATCTTATGATATTTGTTGGAGGCGAGTGTAAGTGAAAAAAAGGTGGATTGTTTTTGGGTTTCGAGTTTGTGCGGTTAAGATTTATCTAGATCTAGATCTCGTACGCAATCGGATTTATGGAATTATTGTTTGATTGGTGGATGACAGTGCTAAATTAACAAGCGGGGAATTTGCTAATTTCGTTGTGGACGTTCTTTGGTTATTCTCTTTGGAATTGGTGTGATTAGATTAATTTTGGCTATGGATATGTTGTGCGACGATCTGTCATTTTTCAGTCTGTTAGGATTCATTTTGACCTAAGTTTTTGCTTCTGAAGTCCTTGTAGTTTTGTTAACTTGGGGGTTTTAAATTTTTTACCCTTTTTTTTCTATGATAACATGATGTCAATTAGGGATTGGTGCAGTTAAGTTTTTCAAATTTTCCATGCAGAAGATTCTAGTATTTAATCTTAATATTCTTTAGGCCTGTTGTTCGGTTTAGCCTGCTTTATTTCTGTTTATTTGTTTTTCGCATATTATTAGTCTTGAGATAGTATGGAATATATATATATATATATATTATGGTCATGTATTCACAATATCAGTGGACAGGTTCAGTTTTATCTTGCTAAAATCTTTTAGTTCTCATATTTATTTGAAGTTATATTGGGTTGTTACTTTTACTTTGTCTTCTTCATGAATCTTGTTGTGTCCTGCAATATTCGCGGCGGTGGAAAAATATGAATTTTAGCATCCTAACTTTGTACGAAGATCCATCACACAAATAGATGAAAGGTAGAGGTGTAGCGTTTATAAGAGATACTAGAGTTTTTACGTGGAAACCCCTAAAAAGGGGGAAAGACCATGGGGCCTTGCCCATTTTAAATTAATCTTCTAGTGTTTGCAATTGATTACAAATAAGGCCTTTCCTTGGGGGGAAGGCCTTGGATCGATATAGCAAATATACATCATATAGAGTGCATTACATGGTGGGAGTTGGAAAAATTAGTATTGGCATGTCCGTTTGGTCGGCAGGACCATAGTCGGTGAGCGACGATGGTCAGAAAGATTGTTGTTTGGCGACGGAGGTTGGAATGATCATAGTATGCGGGCGACGAAGGTTGGAAAGACTGTAGTTGGGCAACGGTCGATGTTCGGGAGTTCGGCAACAATCTGTGGTTAGGCGTAAGTCCAGCAATAGTTAGTGGTTGAGCGGAAGTCCGGCGTAAGTCCGACGATGGTTGAGGAAGGGCTTGGTGGTAAGAGATATATAAGATTTCTCTTTCTCTTCTCTCTTCTTTCCCTTCCTTCTCTTCTCCCCTCTTCAAATGAGAGATCTATTTATAGTTTTCGGGGAGTGACATAGCTAGTAAATAGTGAAAAGATCAAGGATATGTTTAGAGGATTTTGAATGGATGGTTGATATTGACTCTTTTGATCATGTACTATTTATCGAGTATTAGAGTATCTTAATGATATTAAAATTCAACAATCATGGGCTTGTTGGATTTGTCTCGCCGAGCCGCTTGATTCGACTATAAGCATGTCACATTTGAAAATCATTTGATTGTTCAATTTATGGTTGAGCCTTTCAAATGCACTTTGGGTCCTTGATTTGAAGCCATTTGAGCTCGGATTTGAAGCCATTTGAGCTCGGATTTGAACCCATTTTGGTTTGGATTGGAACAAATTTGGTGTCGTTGGGTTCATCTTTTCGAGACGTTCAATTCGACTATAAGTTTACTGAAATCGGAGTTTCGTGCTTGAACATGAATGTTTTTTTATGATATATCAGCTAATGTATATTTGTATGCTATATTTTGAAACTATGCACAAGTATTAATGTTTAAACATGGGTATCTTATCTAATCTGGATTGTTGGCTTTGTTGAATTTATTTGTAGCAATATATTATGTTTTTATGTTTTTTTTTGCTCCATCTGCATTCAAGTGCTAACCTTTTTAACATATAAAGCACCTTTTGTTTTATGCCTTGTTTAATGATTTAATTTAATTTGTCAAGCTTGTTGATCGTAATAATTCTATGTTGGTGCTTCCGACTAGCACTTTTTATTCAATTTAATTTGTCGAGCTCATTGATCATAGAACTCTATGTCAGGTGATTTGGACGAGCATTATTTTTCGTTGCTTTTATTTGTTAGGTTTATTTTTCCCCGTATTTATCTTTTTCTTTGGCATGTTATTTGGAAGCTAAATCATCAATATTACTACACTAAACTTTTAATCTCTATTTTTTTTTCTAAGTTTGTTTTTCCACGTTTTTCTCTTTTCCTCTGACATGTTTCGAGTAAGTTAATTCATCAACATTGCTCCGCTATTCTCAGTTAGCTTTATCTTCCGTTTCTATTTTTTCTTGTTTTCTTGGAAGTTTTGTGTTGTGATTCTAGCCAGGAAATTCTTCTTTAATCATAATGGGAAAAATCTTTCACTCACATTTTCTTCCATCTTTTTTTTTTTTTCCTTTAATATTTTTCTTCAAATACTAGAATGCCTAATGTAAGTAATATTACAATACATATGAAAATTTTGTTGCTATGCTTTGCACTTTGGTGATCCCTAGCGAGCATGTTGCTTGTCATGTTGTTTTTGCAATGCATTTCCATCATATATTATTCTGATTCTAATGTTTGAATACTAGGAGTGGAGTTGGTACCTTTTAATTATTTGAAACTATATTTTGTGAATGCTAGTCTCTACGTAGATGATTTTGTTAAATTTATGTTTCAGATTTGTTTTTTGACCTTTCATGTTAAATATGAAAATATGTTTAGTTATTGAAGAGATCACTATTTTCAAATTTTATTATAGTATTTTTATGAATTGTGTGTCATGTAAAAAGATGTGTTCCAACGCTCTCAACTTTTGTCTTGGGCTTTTTTGTGTGATGTTGTAGACTAAATTACAGAAAAAAGTCGTATTATTTTAGAAAGGTGCTGAAAGTTTAGCCTTGCACTATTTTGGGCATTGGTGCTTCAATAATTTCTTTTTCTACATGATATTATTTTGCCTTTCACTGTGGTTGCTTTTACTTTTTGATCAAATTTTCACACTATTATTTAACGATTGATATACTAATTAGGAATTATCTGATTTTTTTGGGGTCACTGTCATTCAAAATGGTCATGTTTTTTTTTTTTTGCATGCTATTAATGAATGAAAGAGAACAATATACTCACCTAAGTTTTCAACACCATGGCAACATGTACCTAATAAGAAAATACTTCACTTTCCTAAATTTTCAGCTTTTGCTCAAGGCATATCTGATAGTGATAGGAAAATGGATAAGTGTATAGTGCTTTGGAATGCATCAATTTTCCTAGAAGTAATGCTACCCTGAAAATTTTCTACATAAAAATCATTTGGGCCGCACTTTTATAGGTGAACAAATTAAGTCTGAGAAAATTACCACGACTTCTGTTTGGGAATTTTTTTCACCTCATGAAGTGTTTATATGGCGTTAACTTTTTTGTGTGTTTTTTAAGGTGTACAGTATCTCTATTTTTCTATTAGTTATGTAAGTGATCTATTGCTGAAAATTTGGTTGAAAAGAGGATCATTTTAAATGAAAATAGTGTTGATTGGTTTAGTTGTCAGTGATGTGTCTGAAAAATATTTTAAAATGCCAAAGCTACAGGACATGAAGCAAATGACATATTAGGCATCTTAGAGTTTTTTTTATGTGGGGTCTGAAAACAAATGACTCTTACTTTCATTGTGTGAGTTTATGGATGTTCTTGGTCAAAGTTTTAGAAAGCAGATTAGTTTTATTATGATAAAACACTATTCATAGATTTCATTCTCATTTTACGAGAAATTTGTGATTTGTTTTCAAGTTTCTCGAAAGCGCAAACCTTTATGATTACTTATACCTCATGATAATGAGAAAGAACTTTTGATTAAAGCTATTGGTTAAATAGACACTAAGTACTTAGTGTCTAATAAGAATAAATTAATTTTGGATTGAAAATTTATCTCAATGAAATTAAAGTGGATGTTAGGAGAAATGATAATGAACCAAATCAAGATCTCATCATTCAATCATTAGAGTTGTTAGAATCCCTAGTCTTTTTAGTTAGAGGTGGTAATCAACCCCACTTGTTCAAAGGATCATTGTCGACAGTCATGAGCAACTTCATGTAAGGTAACCTTATAGACTTGGGGTAGATGTTTATCTAAGAGGATAAATTCAAGTCTATCTTAGTTAACAAAGGGTTTTATGACTTATCAAGTATTCCATATGATTCCTTATTTTAGGGGTTTTTAGCCATGAAAAACATACAGACTCTAGCTATAATTATAATTTAATGTTGTAATTTCGTCCCAAACTACCTGGCAAAAGGCCAAGCATAGTCATCTTAATTGAGACACCATTCATCATCAAAATTACTAGTTAAAGGACAGGTCAGGTCCTTACGAGCGAGAGATCGTTTGAGAATAAAATATATTAATATGCTTCATAAGACATTTTGCTTTTTATGAGCTTAACTTATCCTCAAATTTATCGTCCTCAACAAATAGTTGTGAATGATGAATAAATTTTGCTTTCAGTTATGAGTATATTGCATTTGAATATTTTGAATTTTATGAAATTTTTTATATTCTTATTTTTTGCTTAAATTCAAGTTCAAAATGATTTGCATAAGGATCTGAGGGTATTTTGAAAATATTCTTTTCTGTAAGATTTACTTTCAATAGGGTCATCTTATTGTTTGAGTATTTTATATTATTTTTTTTATTTAAACTTAATAAACTCTATTCACTTATTAATAGAGAATTGGGTTCCAATGTTAACTTTGTGAGCTATTATATGAGCATTGAATATGAGTGCGTGCGTGAGTTTAAAAATGATTCATGTAGCCGACCCCAAGTAGTGAGATAAAGGTTTGATATTGTTGTTGTTGTGTGCTTTTTAGTTTGCCTGCATAATACAATTTTGCGCTTTTAGAAAGGTAGTGTACTTCTTTGAGTAGCTTTACGCTTCTCAAGGCAGTAATGTATTTCTTGAAGCAGCGGCTCATTTTTCATACTAAAATTCGTACATACATTATTTTCAATTTGTGTAGCATTCTTGGATGTTAAATTTGGGCGTTTAACACAGTCGTTGGAGCATATGTGAGCATTTTATTTTCAAAAGAGATTTAAAAATTGGTTATGCATACTTCTCTGGGCAAAAAATGTAGAATGCATTTATTATTCAATATGTGCAGCATTCTCATACGTTAAATTTGAACATTTGTCATGCTTGTTGGAGCTGAGGTCTAAAAAAGAGAAATCAAGAATTAAAGCATTTTTCTTAGCGAGGCAAGGTGCAAGCCTTAAGGTAGATCGAGGTATAAGCCTCAAAATATAAAAATAAAACCTCATTAAAATTATAAATAATTCATAAAAATGAAAAAATGTAATAAATCATAAATATATTTACTTTATTCATCATCATGATGACATATATTACATGTTATCATAATATGAAAGTTTGAAAAAAGATTTGACGTAAACACTTAGAGCTTAAATATGCCAAAAGGATCCGGAACATGATGACCTCATGATCACTTTCATATTCTATAAAAAAAGTTCTCTTATATAATATTTCTATCATCATTGGATTCTATCTTATTCTCTTCTTCAAAATTGTCTTCAATTACAATATTTTTTCTTCATTGATATAAGTTAGCATTGCATTAAATATAATCTAAAGTAAATATAATAAATTAATAACACAACTAAGTAATTCATTACACTCAAATTATCTTTTGATTTTTTGAATCTCCAACCCCACTCCTTTTAAATGGTTGTGAGTATAAGCTGCTATTAATTCAGTACCGCTCCTTCATCATCTACTTCAAATCTTTTATTATTTTATGATGTATTCATTTATTATGAGATAATATATCATCAACAATCAAATGATTCATTTCTTCATCATCAGTTCATTGCCTTTAAAATTTGAAATGTCTATTTTTAAATTTTTTTTATTAAGCATAATGTGAATCAACTTTTTATTATGCATCTCCAATAGGATTTTGAGGTTTTACCTATTATGTTGTGAACGTTGCTAATAAGTTTCTCCCATCACGCTAAAAAAATCATATATGAGTTCTACTCGTTCCAAACACGTCTCCACTGGGCTTCGAGGATTTTTGGGTTGTTGCATTTTATATTTGCGTGGAAGAATGCATTGATGAAGTTAATGATGGTAGAGCAAGCTTGGAAGTGAATGCGGCACAAAAGTTTTTTTAATATTTTTCCCCTAGAGAGAGTTCTTTTTAAGAGAGAGAGAGAACAGAGGATTGATATTGGACTTCACTTTCTAGTTAAAAAGTTGAGTAGGCGCAGGGAGGCCAGGCGGCAGTCGATTGGGGTTGGTGGTGGGATGATTTGCAGCAACTGCCTGGTGGTGGCGTGGAGTGTAGGAGGGGGGTGATGGCCTGTGAGGGTTGAGTGTGAGAGAAGAAGCACAGGGGGATTGGGCTAGAATATTGTGCGACTGAGGGGTAAGAGGCAGCTATTGCGGTGAATCATAGAGGGAGTGTTTAGATTTAGTTTTATTAACTTTTTAATTTTTGTTTACTTCTATTTTTGCACTCCCTTTTTTTTAATTAGAAAAGGGGTACCCTTTTGATGCAATAAAAGGATACAATACATGTACTAAAACATTATAAATTTTAGTATTATAATTGTTTTAATTAACTTAGACATAAATATATAGTTTAAAAATTATTGAAATCGTAATTTTAAATTTTACGAATAATTACATTGGTTTTTTAGTAGACATGCCTGTGTCGTGTTCGTGTTGCCGTAGTCATGTCTGGACATTATAACCTCACAACAATATAGATTTGTGTTTATCCTTGATTTAGTCCATGATAGCTTATGCTATTTCTCTCAAGAGGCTATACCACAAATTTCACATAATCTCAGTGTGTACTTGTGAATTTCTATTTTTTAAAAATATTCAATTATGAAGTATTCTTAGGTATTTAGATTATTAAACAAGTGTTTCGAATCTTGATGTTTAAGTGTATAATAAGAAATTATGATTAGTATTATTTTTCTTATTGTTGTTGGTAAACCACTGAAGCTGCCGTGTCTGTGCAAGGCTATCAATATCTTTTATTGGTCATTCATAGTTCCAAATTTTCAGCTTTTATCAAATAATGAACTTCATTCTAGTTGTTTGAAGCTTTTATTATATATTCTTTTTAGGAGGTTATGCTTATTCTTCCTGCTAAAATTTGAAGCCTTCTGTGAATTGTTTTTGGGGGTTTGTCTAATTGGTGAACTATTATATACTTATATATTATTGGTATCAATGGTTCAGTTTCTATGCTTCATTGGAATTGCATTTAGGTTTCATTTCATTGGTTTGCTTTTAGATATAAATTTGTTTCAGCAGATAAATTTTATTTTCACTCATTTTCTTTGTAAGAATGAAGTTATTTACTACATTCGAGGAGTTTTGAAGGTTTTTGTAGATTTCAAAACCAATTTTTATTTTCAATTACATCTAACCAAAGCGATAGAATCCCTCAAAATTCAGCCTTTTTAAAATTGTTTTCTGGAGCCCTTCTGTTCATTCGCTGCCACTGTTATTTCTACAGATTCAGTATTGATTATCGTTCTCTATAATATCCACTATACTTAAAGTTCTAATTTATACCGACTCCTTTTCCAAATAAACTGAGCACTTACCATCACAGATGAGCTCATTGCCAATGCTGCTTACATTGGCACTCCTGGAAAGGGTATCCTTGCAGCTGATGAGTCCACTGGAACCATTGGCAAGCGGCTTTCAAGCATCAATGTCGAGAATGTTGAAACAAACCGTCGAGCTCTTCGCGAGCTCCTCTTCTGCACTCCTAATGCCCTCCAGTACCTTAGTGGCGTCATCCTCTTCGAGGAGACCCTCTACCAGAAAACAGCTGATGGAAAGCCCTTCGTCGAAGTTCTAAAAGAAGGCGGTGTTCTCCCCGGCATCAAGGTGGACAAGGGCACCGTTGAGCTCGCCGGCACCAACGCTGAGACCACCACGCAAGGACTCGATGATCTTGGCAAACGATGTGCGAAGTACTACGAAGCTGGCGCCCGCTTCGCAAAGTGGCGTGCTGTCCTGAAAATCACTCCCAATGAGCCTTCCCAACTTGCCATCAATGAGAACGCCAATGGACTAGCTCGCTACGCCATCATCTGTCAGGAAAACGGTTTGGTTCCCATTGTTGAGCCTGAGATTCTTGTTGATGGGCGGCATGACATCGACCGCTGCGCCGAAGTGTCTGAACGGGTGCTTGCTGCTTGCTACAAGGCTCTTAATGATCATCATGTCCTCCTGGAAGGGACTCTGCTGAAGCCAAACATGGTCACTCCTGGTTCAGATTCAGCCAAGGTGGCTCATGAGGTCATTGCAGAGTACACGGTGCGAACCCTACTCAGGACCGTTCCGGCTGCCGTGCCCGCCATCGTGTTCCTCTCCGGCGGACAGAGCGAGGAGGAGGCGACTCTTAATCTGAATGCCATGAACAAGCTCAAGGGGAAGAAGCCATGGTCGCTTTCTTTCTCATTTGGCCGCGCGCTGCAGCAGAGCACACTCAAGGCGTGGGCGGGGAAGGAAGAGAATGTGAAGAAGGCGCAGGCCGCTTTTCTCTCTCGGTGCAAGGCGAACTCCGAAGCAACACTGGGGAAGTATGGCGGCGATGCCGCACTCGGAGATGGAGCCTCGGAGAGTCTCCATGTGAAGGATTACAAGTACTAGTTCTGTTGCAGGGAGAGGGGAATGAGGTATTCTGTTTTTGTTTTTATGATTTCTAAATACTTTCTTATGTTGCTTGCGTGCTGTGCTGTGCTGTGTTGGTATGAGCCCTTAGTTGTTTCCTCATAATGAAGTGCTACTCTTCTGCAGTGTTACATTGAGGATTTCTATATGTTGAGGTGTTTTTGATGGAATAATGGATTGTAGAGATATATAATTAATATTTATGCAGTTTATGCAGTTTTTTTATTGATATTTCTTTGATTTTTTGTTTGCTAGGATTTCCTGATTGCTGTTTTGAGCTGGTTTCATTTGACAATGTTGTATGTTTTTTGTTAGATATGTTGGCAAATATATGAGCAAAAATATATCCTCTGGTTTAAAAAAAGATATTTATAATATTTATAGTATTTTTTTAAAATAATTTTATAGTTTTATTTGGGCTCAAGAGATGAGAAAAGTAAAGATGTATTCAGGTGAAGTGTATATAAGGATGAAGATAAAAAAATATTTTTATTAGAAGTATGTTTGGATGAGGAATTTTGATAAAATTTTAATGAAGATTATGAGAATACGATTAATTTTATTGGTGTTTTTAGTGGCATAAATGAAAATAAAGATTTTATTTTTATCGTTCTATGAATAAAATTGAAGTTAGAGAGGATTTAGAGAAAATAAAATATGAAAGAATAATTGAACTTTATGATATTTTGATGATATTTCAATAGAGATGTGAAAATACTTATAAGATGTTAGTGAGTGGAGGAGTATGTTAGTTTTTATTTTTGAGAATAAAGATATGAATAAGAGTATGAATTATAGAAGAATTAAGTTAATATTATACATTAAAAGCATGGGAGAATGTAATTGAATATAAGTTACTACGTTATACTAATATTTCTCAAAATTAATTTTGATTTATGACGGGTAGGTCTATTGTAAAAGCTATATATTTATTGGGGTTTGATGGAATAGTTTAGAGAGAATGAGCAAGATATACATGGATATTTATTGATTTAGAGAAAGTATATGATAGTTTCAAGTCATTAAGTATATGCATATAGGAGCTATTACTTGTGTTTAAACACAAGATGATTTGACAAATTCTTTTCTATTTTAGTTGAATTACATCAAGGATTAACTTTAAACCCATATCATTTGCTTTAATAATGGTTGTTTTTATTAGACATTTGTAAGAGGATGTATCTTTGTGTATTCTTTTTGTTGATGTTTTTATTAGACAAAAAACTTGAATTATGGGAATCAATCTTATAAAATAAATATTTTCATTTGAGTAGAACGACTGCTTGTGACTTTGGGCGATAAAGTTATTAAAAAGAGTATATATTTTAGATATCTCAATTTTATTGTTCAAAGTGATGGTGAAAAATGATTCACATAGCTGACTCCATGTAGTTGTAGAAAAACTTGTTATTTTAGTATAATTGCATAACTATCTTCATAAAAAAATTATAGCAGTTACAAATAGATCCTGAGATTCAAATATTTTGAAATGCTTTTAGCAAAATATTGGTGTGCAAATTGAGAGAGGTACAAAGACAATGAAAAAGCTATAGAAGTGAGAGCTCCTCTCATTATTTTTAGTATTTTTTTTTTTCCTTTAAACTTCGCATCTCTCTTGCCTATGGATAAAATCTATTTTATTTTTTTGTCATTTAGTAGTAGATAAGCTCTAATAAAATCAGCCAAAACTAACTAAAAATAGAGGCAAACCAAAATCTGATCGAGTTTTAATATTCAAACATTTTTAACAAATTAAATCATACCCAAATCCTAACCTAAATGATTTTTTTTTAATGAATTGAGGAAATTATAATGGCTTATATAAATTACAAATGTTATATAGTGCTGTCATATATATCTGTGTGAATGGAGGGATCATTATGTGTAGAACTGAAATTTGATCACTATTATTTTCATATTTTACAAAGTAATAAGAAAGCCGTCCAAAGAAATCAAGTTGTGTCTCATAGGAAGTAAGAGGAAACTTAGGCTTCATTTTTTTACTGCTTTATAAAATAATTCTTTGTAAAAAATGTTTTGAATATGAAAATTTTGTACGAGAAAGCTGCTTCATAAAACAGTAAGAAAGTTATCCCACTGTAAAACTTCTGCTTATCATGAAGTAAGGTGTTGGTTGATCTTTTCATTCCTCATGAATCCAAAAGATTTCTCAATATTAGGACTTGTGGTTATCAATTATGGAAAGAATATTGCATGGGAAACTCTTAATACTCATTTCAAAACTAATCCAATAATTTTGAATCAAACTTAGACCAACATGTTACAATACTGAACAAAAAGGCTCAAAACATAAGCCATTTTTACTTGAATTAGTGGAAAAAAGAACATATAATGATTTACATTTGTATGGCTCTCTTCAGTTTACTTACATGTACTCTAGCCACAGAAAAGGCAAATATTTGTAGTGGAGCAAATTTTAAAAATTCACTGGGAAGGTCAAGGTAGTATGCAAGGCAAGGAAAAAACCCTAAAAAAAGTTCAAAATCACCAGGATTTCTCCTCATCTAGCCTAGGCCAACACAGGAGATCCTTATTCTTCCATTAAAACTTTCTCACTACCTCTTCTGGAAGTTTAAGAACTTAATAGAATAGGCGAAGACGAAGGTGAAGACGAAGACAAAGGCGAAGTGAACTAAGGCCACATAGCCTAGGAAATCATGCTCATATCCTAGCTTTAGATTCAAGAAAGTTTTGACATCTAAGCTAGGCTCTCCTGGTATCTCTACTTTGTTATCTAATTCCCCCAGCTGAGACACAAGTAGACCATAAATGGTCCAGGACACAGGATTAGCCCAGAACATCCACCTCCACCACACAGGCATCATCTTTTAAGGTAGATAAATTAACAGATTTCAATATTAGATAGTAGGGATTAAAGATATATTAAAGCAAAGAAATGGCGTACCTTTCGCGGCAAAACGAAACCGCAGAACAAGTTCCAGAAGCTGTAAAAGAAGGAGGATACTACGCCGGCGACTTGGTAGCTTGGAGTTAGTGCTACAGCCATCATGCCGTATAGTGTGAAGTAGATGAAGCACATGAAGGTAAGGAAGAAGAACCAGAAGAACTTGTCTGCTCTCCATCCAAAATCCATCATGGAGAACAGGAGAAGGGTGTAAACAAAGCTCTGGACAGCAATATAGATTGCTTCAATGCTCACCTGAAAAATGCGGACAGGCTGCACGTTAATGGGATAATTCCCTGCAAAGATACATGCAAACCTAAGTAATTTTGTGTACTAAAAAGCTGCTTTAAGAATTCTTGTTTGCCTATCTTTCTTCAAGTCACTAAGGTTTCGTTTGGGACGGCTTTCTTATCGCTTCTTAAAACAACTTTTAGTAAAAAAATTTTAATTTGTGTACTAAAAAGCTGCTTTAAAAAGCATAAAGAAAGCTGTCCCAAACAAAACCTAAAACTCTAACAAATGTAAATAACTTCACAAAATTTCAAGTCAAATTATTTCGGTTAATTCCTTCTCTTTTTTCCTCATCACATTAATCATAATTACTTCATCATTGCCGACCCCAAATATTTTTGGATAAGGCTAAAGATGATGATTATGATGATAATAACAACCCTTCCTACCAATGCATTTTAATGCTACATATTTGGAAGCAAACTTTGTAATGGTACAAATATTGAAAGCTTTTTTCTAAAAACCATTAAAAACATCATGAAAAGAATATGCTCTTTTACTGGTATATTTTACTGTTCCTCGCAAAAATTCATTTTGCATAATCAGATGAATTTACAGGTGAAAGATGAGTGTAGTAGTAGTATTTACTTGAGCAAATGCGTATGCCAAGGATGAGTACATGCCAGCTGCCCTTTCACGATAAAATACTGTCCTCTCAATTGCCACAACAGGTTGCACGGTATTAGCATTGGTAGCTCCAAGGAAGAAAACAGCAGCATAAATTGCACCCATTAAATTGAACAGGTCCTGTTGTTTGCTTCTGTTTGACCAGTAAAGCGGTGATCTTTCATGAGTTTACAGTATACCTAAAGGATGATATCTTGAAATAAAAACATAACCAGAATGTAGATGCTACTGAAATTTTGGCTCACAAGTCATCCAATTATGATAATTGTTCTACGTTCATTCTAATTACTAAATGCTGGGTACAACAATCAATGATAAGTGTTAACCCGCCGTATAAAACAAAAGAGAGAAAACAAAAAAAATTTAAAATCAACGTACCTGCCATCCCACACAGTCGCACGTCGTCGCCGCATTTCGCACGTCGACGTCCCCTCACTCAGTTCGCACGACCCTGTGTCGTTAAAATGAAAAAGAAAAAGAGGCAGAAGGCGGATTCTCTCAGCCTCTCTCGCTCTTACCTCTCTCGCCTTCTCCCTTCTCTGTCGAATCGGAAGTTACGACATTTTGTGCGAAAGCAACAACGTGAGCTCGCTTGCAGTGAAGATAACTTTCTCCCTTGCGTGCGGCTCCTCTCCGACTCCTTCCTGGCTGTTCGGCTTCACTCCTTCGACGACTCGCCCTTCCAGTCGGATCGAAGTTACGACAGTTTGATCGGGAGCAACTCGGGAGCTCGCTGGCTGCAGAGATAACTTTCTCCCTTTCGAGCAGCTTCTCCGACTCCTTGGCCGCCCGACTTCGCTCCCA